GAGGCCCATAGGCAGTTTGAGCTTATTCCATGAAAAGCCGCTGAAGAATTTTTTTAAGTAATTAATTCTTAATTGGGTTTGGGTTTAGGAAAATAGATTCTTGTAATATTAAATTTTACTTTTTAACTTTAATATATAAACTTATTTTTTCTCTTGTATAAATATGATAACAAATGATAAGGTAGATTACATTTATTGTAGCGAGAGAGGTGAAACAGTATTTTAATAATATTGATTTTGTTTGACGTAGCTTATTTGTGTGTGTTTACTATTTTTTATTTCGATTTTCACTCTCTTCCCAGTTACCAACGCATGAATAACATTTTCGTTCCCAGTCACACAATATACAGTTCTTCTTCTTCTTCTTCTTCTTCATCTTTTTAAAGGAGAAAACCAGAGGAAATAAAGTTTTATCATTGAAGTGATTGAAAGAGTAAAATATATATGGAAATATTAATATGATATACAGTATTGGATGCTTATTCAAGAACCTATAATTGAATTTTTTTTTTTTTTAAATAAAATAGATTATTGTTTTGTATACAATTACTCTGGAAATATGTTTATCAAACACCTTTGACTGTTAGCTTAAGAAACGAGGGATTAATTAACCATCATAACTACTTCTGTATCTGTTTACTGAGTAGAGTTTGGTGCACTGCAAAAGTTAAATATATGAACTCAACCCAGCAATAAAAAAGATACCCATAGCCATGAATATCTTTAATTAATTATATGTAAGAGAAGAGACATAATAAAAAAGATCGTATTGTTGATAGGAAACATGAATGTTTCCATGCATGAGTCATTCCAGAAACCTTTTGCCAGATTTGAGAGACCCAATCACATTACTCCATTTAAATGCTCAACCTGCAAATTTAAAGCTTAATTACTCCCAATTGCAATTAAAAATAATCCTCTACTTGTAATTACAGTAGTTTACAATGATTTGTTTTATAATATTTACGATCTGCATGCTTTGTATTACTTAAATCATAAGTTCATAACCCACAATCATCACCAACTTGTAATTAATTTAATTTCTGACTTTTATACAATATTATTTTTACGTAACATGTATGCAAGGAAATTTAAAAAAGACCTTCATGATACAATATTATTGTTAATCAGATCCTAAGCTAATATATTTTGAAACCTTAGATTAAGTCCTACCCAAAACCATATTTATAGGAGAATTTAGAATTATATTAAGCTTTGCCACACTCATGATCTTTAATTAATTAGTTAATGAAGGTTTCATCTGTTGAATTCATCGATATATAAGAGTAAAAGATTTTTTCCACCCAAAAAGTTTTAAAATACCACTTTCTCACCCAAAGTTTATATTCCGTTAATATCCAAAACACACTTCACTTTCTCAATTGGTGTTCGACAAATTACTAGGAGCCAGGGTAAGAGGGTTTTTGTAGAATAGAGGCCAATGGATTGAATGGTGGTGATCAATTGAACATATGCCACCAGAATCAGTCGAAAGTCAGCTAAGAATATGAATTCCTAGCTTTACAGTAGTCAGCAATCGGTGAGAAATCAGGTATTGGAGTGAGATAAGTTTTGTAAAGAGGATACCGAAGGTTCAAATAATGGTGACAGAGAGAATTTTTATCATTGGAATCAATCGGAATCTGTTTTGGATAATAACAAAATATTAACTTTGAGTGAAAAAGTGGTATTTTGAAACTTTTTGGATAGGAAAGTGTCGTTAAGGCAAGCCTTGGGTGGGAAAAGGTTGTTTACTCATATATATATATATATATATACACTTAATTTGTGTAGTTGTTAATTAAGTTGATTAGTTTTCTTCTATCAAGGCATAGAAGGAAGAGAAGGTGGTGCATGTGCACTTGCTTTTCAACTCTTAATATTAATTGTTATTAACCCCAACGGCCAAACAGGTGATTAACCTCCTCCTTCCTTGGCCTCTAACCTAGTATATCAGTCTCCATTAATATAGCATAATCAAACAAACTCCATATATAATTAATCTATACTTTGAGCTTGACCTTCATAAGTAGCTGATTATCTGCACACATCTTATATGGATAATGCATGTGATCACTGATTACGAGATCATAATCATATATAAATACATTTAAACCCCAACTACCATCTCTAAAATAACAAACAATTAATGTATTAATTAGGAATGGTCACTAACTAATTAAGCTGTTGATTCATAAGTGTTAGAGTATAATATATACTTCTCTTAGTTTTGACGGATTGTCTGCCTACAACGACTCATTCAAGAGTCTCGTTAGATTCGAGTAAGCTCAAATAGGGTTAGGTTTCTATTATGTATTTTGTGTAATAGTGAAAAGTTTAAAGTGAGAATAAAGAGTGAGAAGGAACTGCCGTTGTAATTGTTGCAGAGTTCTGATGCTCAAATAAATTTTTCTATTTGAATATTGGACGCAGTTCTTTAATTGGAACAAATTAGGATAAATCATTGTGTTTTATATTTATTTTATACTGTACTTGTAACCTGTTTGGTTTTCGATTTCAACAATAAGTCTATTTACACAATTCATTACAACTCAAATTTTAATTAATGTTCACTGGAACTACTAGAACTAGTCACTGATCTTATTTAGAGTAATCTTCTACAATTCTGGAACTCTCTTTTTTTCCTTTCTTGTCTAGTTGTATATCCAAATACAGTATTTGGAAATCAAATGTTAGAGCTAATACAAACTTTTACACAAGAAAAAGAAGAATCAAAACCCTGATCAATGAGTCAATATGCTGGAGATCAGAAACACTATTTCCCTGGTCTCAGATAATATTTATGCTGATATCTTTAATCAATGATCAATTAGTTTGACATCATGAATTACGATGGTAGAGATGCTCATCGGTTGACCAGTATCAACCCTACAGAAATTAATAAAACTGTGCTAACTTACCTGCTCTACATCGGATACGCATTACTAAAATCCACGTATTTATTAAACAATTAATAATGATTTGGTCGGTGTTAATCAGTTAACTTTGACGGTTAAAATCTTGGTCAATTAGGCTTAATTATAGTTCGGTCTCCTTCATCGACTAAGGGAGCAACAGAGAGCGAGAGAGCGAGAGAGAGAGAGAGAGAGAAGATAGAGAGGTCTTATATTAATATTAACTTTTTAATACGATGGGCAATCGAAATAAACAATGCAGGAAATTATGAAGATAATATATGCTTTATATAATATATAGTACAAAAGCATATGGTAAACATATCAGTTTATATATCTTTCTTGGAGTTTCAAAAAACTCTTGGGGTATAATTAATAAATATAAGCTCATTTCTGAAAGAAACCAGCCCACTGGATTTGAAAGAAATAAAGAAATAATGGTTCCTCGTGACTGTGAGCACAGTCTTCGCTGTCCATTGGATCAATGTCATGTGCCCCGACATGTACGCTGAGCCACCACCCCATATTTTTCGATTAAAATCTCCACCTCCACCTCCACACCGTACTATTTTACAACTGATCAATATCAGAACCTTGCTACCTTTAATCGACTCTGTACAATCAACATTTCTGTTTGTTTCTTCCTTTAATTCACTTAAGAATCTTGGTTTTGCGTCATGCACACGACTCATTATATTGTATTTTGATCGGTTTGAGTCAGCTCTAATTAGACTAACTCATGTTCGAGAGAGGGATCAGAAATTAATAATATTAGTACAGTATTATCATCTGGAAACCATGAAAAAAAAAAAAAAAAATTTGGAAATACCCAGTTTTCGAAAAGACGTTGTTTTTGTATATATATTGTTATCTGTTCGAGAAACCATGGATAAATAGTTTTTTCTTGCATTTAATGAATAAAAGAAACCTAGCTAGTTTAGCTATATATTACACCAATCCATGCATAAATTTGAGAATTACTGAGAAGCTTAATGTATTATTTATCTTGCATGAAGTTGGGAGCAGCTAGCAGGGTTTGTTAAAGTGTGGCCTAGAAGTTGATTAATTAATTTAGCACATTAATCATTCAACCATTGGACGAATCAGAAGCACGTGTTCAATCAATCATGTTCAGGGTGTCTCCATGATTTAGTTGACTGATTACATAAATAGGTTTAATGAAAAAATTAGATCAGTCTCACATGAAAATAATGTCTCTACATGCCAACTGGTTTCAAATTTGTCTGCAATATTTAGATTTCACTAAATCATACACAGAGAGAGAGAGCCAAGACGACCATCAAAGATCTTATAAGTATTATTATTAGGTGGCATGTCAAGAATATATCCAATAAAAACAATATTATGATCCATATAGATACCTTTGTATTAATGCCAGTTAATTAATCAGACGGCTTACCGAATTATATTTATTATTAGGATAAAAATGTAACCAAAAAAATTGAAAATAAAAACCCTAATTTGCACCGGAAATGGGTCGGTGCAAACAACACTACTTGGGATGCCGAGATGGCACGTGTGAGTGATGGTGTATGGATGGTGTTAGGGCAAGAGCATGGTATGTTATGTAAACTTTTTGACTGGTCAACTGAGAAACATTATATACAGAGAAATGGTGAGATTTTTCTCGTATTTGATTTAAACCAGAAGAAAATAGTTTAAATATTGATAGAAAAATTAATAAAAAACATGATATTGCGTGAGGGACTGACAATGCACTCGCTGGCTCAGGAACAAAACACAAAGTTAATTAAATTTTAAGAGAGAGAGAGAGAGAGAGAGAGATTCGAGTTCAGTTGATGAAAGTGGTAGAAGTGGCTGATGCTTCATTCATCACCTAGCTTGGTAACAAACACAAACACAGAGAGATAAAAAGAAGACAGTATGGCGTATCTCTAGAGAGATGATTCTCTTTTTCATTTCTTAATTTTTCTCTTTCCAAAACCCTATTTAAATACCACCTTAGATTACTGCTTTCTCCCATGCAATTGTCTTCTCCAGTCCCCAACACCACTACTTGTGTTCTTGTGCTCTCTCTCTCTCTCTCCCCAGTCTCCATACTTATCTTTTCTCTTCTAATCAAGTTCACTCACAAGTTTACTTCCCATTTGTGATCTTCTTGCTTCTTTTTTATTACGCTATTTGTAATAATATATTAAATTTGTAGAAGATGTCTAGCAGAAGGTCAAGATCAAGGCAGTCCGGAACATCAAGGATCACTGATGATCAGATCAATGATCTTGTTTCCAAGTTACAACAACTTCTTCCAGAGCTTCGCAATAGCCGCTCCGACAAGGTATACTTGTTTTCTATTTATTCCCAATATTCTTCTATTCATTAGGTTTTGGTCCTTGAGGAATATATATGTTCCCCTTGAGAGATTTCGGATCAACGCACCGAACTTTATTTTAATCTCTAACAACTGAGGCTTGCTTCTCTCAACTTTCAATATGAAGAAACTCTACTTACTGTTTACTTGAAGAAGTAGCCAGTTGATTCAAATTCCAAGTTTAGGGTGGTTTTTAAACTCTGAATTCTTATAAAAAAAATCAGACAAAAAATAAGAGTGCAAATATATGAAGTAACTCTTAAGACTCATGAGATTACTGCTATTCCGTTGAAAGCAGAGACAAGCAAAGCTTGAGATTGTGTGTATACGCAAATTTATTTACTTCTCTCTTAGTGTTGAATTGAGAAGCCTCTCTCATAATTAATCCATCCATGTAGGAATTAGTAAAGGACATCACTTGGGGAATAAATAGAGACAAGTGCAATTTTATTCTACTGACTTATAATAGGATCAAACGTTCATTTTCTAAGTAAGATTCTTAAAAAGAAGGATGTAAGAGTTGAATAATAGAAAATAATAATTAATTAGTTCCCAGAAAAATTTATACCAAAGTACAAAACACGTCTCAAAATTTGATAAAAAGATTAAGGAATCTGATTAATTGTAATGGAAGAAAAAGAGCTTCTCTACTGAAGGGCAATTCGAATTTGAAGCTAACTTATAAAAATTGTATAATTGCAGGTTTCGGCAGCCAAAGTATTACAAGAGACATGCAGCTATATTAGAAACTTGCACAGAGAGGTTGATGATCTTAGCGAAAGACTTTCTGAGCTATTGGCAACAGCTGACACTGCTCAAGCGGCTATAATCCGGAACTTACTTATGCAATAGTGTAGTACTACTGCTGAGAATGAATATTAGGAGGAGGTCATTTAATTTAGGCAATATTAGCCAATCGTCTATCTTTCTTCTTCTTCTGTACTACTTCCCCTTTTAGGTCTCTCTCTCTCTCTCTGTCACTAGATTATTATTAATTATGAACGTATTATTAGTTGCAGTTGAGAGATTAGAATATCCTTTTTGCAAACCTATGTTTATGTAACCAATATATAATAAAAAGGTCTTATTCTCTCTAAAGTCTAAAATCCCTCTTCACATAATTTGCATACATCAGTTTGTCCATTTAATATATCTTTCTATAATTATTTGCATGCGATCAAAAGCCCCTGGGGCTCCAATCAATTAAAAGGCGATCCAAAAAAGAAAAAGCATGGCATTATTTGAATCCCTACCACCTCTTATATGTCTATTGTCTAGTGTATAATAAAAGAGGAGGCTAAAGCATGGTATTGAATGATCATAATCGATTCTATCATATATATATATGAAAATAATATAAATATGGCTGGCAGACAAGCTTTTTCACATCATATAAATGGAGAGTGGTGAAGTTGATGAATGAGAAAGAAAAGAAAGATGGTCGAAGAGGTTGATAAATGCATGGAGAAGTTAACATGAAAAGGGAAAGTGTTAATTAATTTGAAAGGAGTATGGGGTTATGTCCTTCTTGTTGGAGGTATGGGCAGTTTCTGGTTCAAGCAAAAGCTGCAAGGAGATAAGTAAGTAGCAACAATATTGACTTTGTGTTTGTCCTCCACTCACATTTATAATGCAAAAAGGATAACAAAAATACTCAGTGATGACCCTTCCATCACTATACTTTTGTATGATTTATAGGATGAAACTACGTATAGGATCACTTAAACTATTGATAGCTTCTCAATCTAACTGACGTTATGCATATCAAACCCATATTATATATGGGCTAAAGAGATCTCTAGGATATCAGCTCATTCAAATCATTCAATATTTCTGCAAACTTTTTTCATGCATAAATAAATGGTGGGCTTAATAAAGTTTATAGAATTTACATGAGTAAACGACTTTTTCCCACCCAAGGTTTGCCTTATAATGACATTTTCCCATCTAAAAAGTTTCAAAATATCACTTTATCACTCAATATTTATATTCCATTAATACCCAAAATACATTTCTCATTTTCTCAGTCGGCGTTCAACGAGTTACTAGGAGCTAGAATAAGAAGGTTTTTATAGAGTGAAGGTCAATGGATCAAATGGTGGCGATTGATTGAATATTCGTCACTGGAAACAGTTAAAAATCAGCTAAAAATAGAAACCTCTAACTTTGCGATGATCGACAATTGATAAGAAATCAAGTATCAGAGTGAGAGAAATTCTATAAAGAGAAGATTGGAGGTTCAAATAGTGGTGACGGGGAGAATTTTCTCTGTCAGAAATAACTGAAATCAGTTTTGGATAGCAACGAAATATTGACTTTGGGTGAGAAAGTGACATTTTAAAACTTTAAGGGGTGGGAAGCTGTTTACTGATCAATATACATCATAGCAATGTTAAAGTTTGTATTGTGATGTGATGTGATGTTACATCTCCCGTTTTTGAGTTTTTTACAACATTAAAATAGTGCTTTCACTTTCAGGATGCATATTAATTAATACGATGTTTGGATTTTTATATATACCAAGGTTCATATATAATACAAGCAAACATTAATTGAACATGACATGCATTTATATAAAAAAACATTCATTAATTGATTATCTGTTTTCTCTTTCTTTTGTGACCGTTGGCTCTTCATTTCCGGCCATGTCTACTGTCTTCTCGTGATTGTCAAGATTGGACAATCTCTTTCACAGTCTCAAATTGAACAATTAGGGTATAAATTTTTCAGATTTTATCAATTGGAGGACAAAATTTATAATTTATTCAATTCGGGACATATAACATTTATTTATCTTTAACTTTAACGGATTTGTTTCCCTATCTTATTCCTATCATTTTCAAAATACATATTTGTTTCCCTATTCTGAAAATACTATTATATTATATTTAATCTTTTTAGACCCCTTAAGTTTGTTAATTTAATTAAACACCCCTTAAAAAAGTTTAAAAATTAACAAAAACACCCCCATCCACCCATATTTGCTAGATTCTGGCCACCATTGTCAAAAGGTGCTCGAAATCTAGTATAATGACACACTACCGACTGGATCTGGCCAGTAGTTGCCAGATCTTTGGCAGTTGATTTGGCCGTCAACGTCAGATCGACGCATGACCGATCACATCCAACCGATTGTGTGCCATTTTAGCAGATTCTAGCCACCTTTCGGCGATTGTGGCTAACTGTTGACAATATGTGGGTAGGTGGGGGTGTTTTTATCAATTTATAAACTTTTATTGTTGGAGGTGTTTAGATTAAGGGGTTAAAAAATCTAAATATTTTGAATTGAATATAATATATTGGATTTTGAGAATATTGGGTGTGTTTGTTTTATTATTTTGGGTAGTTTTTTTAAAAAGGTTGAGTTAGATTATTATTACGAAGAGATGATTTAAATTTGAAAATATGTTTAGTAAGATTATTTTATAATCCCCTATATTTGTTAATTTAACTAAACACTTCCAACAAAAATAAAATTTATAATTTGATAAAAACACTCTCACCCACCTATTAATTGCTAACAGCCGGCCACCGGCTTTCGGGAATATATGGGTGGATGGCGGTATTTATGTCAATTTATAAATTTTTTTTTTGTTGGGGGTGTTTAGTTAAATTAACAAACCTAAGGGGTTTAAAAATAGTCAAATAGAATCAAATTGAATTTTCAGAATAGGGAAACAAATATTTATTTTGGGTAGGATAGGAATAGAATATGGTAGAAAAATTAAAATAAACGCATCTTAAGATGCCCTTGATGTTCTTCTTTTTTTCTTTTTGAAGTGAATTTAGTTCTTAAAATAATTTTGAAATTTTTGAAAAACTCAAAAATGGCTAAAGCCAATATTTTCAAGACCAATGCTATGGTTATCAAAAAATTTATACCAAATTCATGCATCGGCAGGCCTAGTACCATTCTTTTTAAAAAAAAAAATTCATAATTAATCGACGGTTATGATGGTGCCATGTCTATCGGTGCATGAATTTGATAATTTTATCATTTTTTTTCAAAGGAAATTAGAAAAAAAAAAAAAAGAAATTTAAAACTAAAAGAAACCTAAAAAAATTATTATTTATTTTGTAAAAAGGGATAAATTAAATATTTTATTTAGTTTTTTAATTTTGTAAAAAATATAATTTAAATTTGTTCATCCTTATATAAAGTTAATTCTGACCCTTTTAGCCTCCCATCGATAAAGTTGGAAAAGTTTATACCCTAATAAAAAAAATATAAACTAGTTACGAATTACGATGCAGAAAAATGAAGAAAAATGACCCGACCCGGATATTTTGGCTACGATTCATTAGTGTTACCTTACCTCAACCTCACAATCTGGGTTCGGGTGAGATGGGTCGGGCTTAGTTGGGTTGGGCCATTAAAATTAATTCCATTTTTATAATTATAATGAATAAAGATACGAAGTTGGCAATATTAAAGATAAATTGGGTTAGTGATTAAGTTAATCCATTTACTCAATTTTCAATGCAATTTCCTTGTCACGTGTAAGTCAACACAATTGCTTCTTCCTGAAGATATAAACCACCATTTATTTTATTTTTATAATTTATTACTTTCCCCGTTGACGTTAATTAATTAATTTATTATATTAAATAATAATTAATAATAATTAGAATTTGGAAATTGTGAAGTGGAGATGATGTAAGAGCTGGCATCGCACATACATCACATGGAATGAAAACTAGACCAGCCGTCAAACACGTGGACACTACCGTCTTCACATGGGAATTTTTACTAGGTCCCACTTTTATCATTTATTGTGATTGGGCCGTTAGTACTTCACTTTAAACTCCCCTGTACGTTTAAGTTAGCCCCCCTGTTAGACTTACGAACACAAAGATGAAGTGATGAACACAAAGGTTCCGCGTTCTTTTAATATTTAAATAATATTTTTGGTATTTTTAGAGTTGGGAGGAATATAAAGTAGAATTTAAAAATTACAAAAATATCTTTTAAATTTGTTAATTTACTAAATATTATTATAATAAAAATATTAAAAATTATAAAAATACCTTTATTCACCTATTAAATATTAGTAGTAAGTAGTCGGTCACTACTTTTGGAGGGTGATTGAAATCGTCGTATCGATGTATGATCGATTAGATTTGATTGATCGTACGTCGAGATGACCTTTTACAACCAGATCTATCGTGGATTTGGTCAAAAAATGATAGATCAGTATATTATCGATTAGATTTAACTGGTAATGTACCATTATATCATATTCTGACTATCTTATTGCGGTGGTCTTTGAAATCTGGTAAATATTGATAAATGAGAGTGTTTTTATTAAGAATAATGCTACAACCACTAACAGTAGTACACTGAATTTATGCATTGAATGACGTGATAAAATCCTGACCGTTGATTAATATTAAGTTAAAATTAATCAATGGTCAGGATTTTGTCATGTCATTTGGTACACAAATTTGATATACTATCATCGGTGGCTGTATTATTTTCTTTTTATTAATTTTTAATTTTTTTTTTGAGAATGATTAGTTAAATTAATAAACTTAAAAAGTTTAAAAATATTGAATAAGATATAATAATATTTTTAGAATAAGAAACAAACTATTATTCTGAAAATAGTACGAATAAGATGGCGAAAAATATTAAAAAATATTCGAGTAAACTAAGAAGATGATGAATATGATTCAGAGGTCGCAAGACTGTTGTGATTTGTCGTGTTTTCATGAATATAAACTTGGTTGTCATTTTCATATATTTCTCTTTCTGTTTACTTATATCTGTAAATACTAATCAAAAGGAAAAAGCATAACGAATAAAGAAACCTCGTTTCTCTCAGCATCGTGTTCTTCTCTTTTGCTCGAGGAAGAGAAGAAAAGACAAGCTATGAAGTAGAGCTTCTTGATCTCTTGAGATTTTCTTTACAAGGTTGATAATACAGTGTGTTTTTGTTATGTGGGTGTAGTTTAGTTTTTGAAAAGGGAGTTTTGATGGGCAATTGCTGGACGAGTACTTGTTGGAAGACAGTGGACGCCACTTTGAGCTCTCGTACAACTTCCGGTACTATTTCTTATTGTTTTTTTTTTTTTTTCTGTCTTTTTTTAGTTAAATGCATTCACTGAATGTGCTCTTTTTTTCCATAAGCTTCTTTCTGGTTTAAAAGATGGACTTTCTTCATGGTTATCTTCGGCTGTTGTTTTTTTTTTATTTTTTTCATTATTGTGAACATTAAAATAGTTTAAGTATTTACAAGTGAGGATTCTGCAGAGGTTTGAGAATTGGATGTGTCATAGCTTTAGTGTTTAATTTTGGAGATTGTTAATTTTGTTTTTGTTCCTTATATTTTTTAGTCTTGTTCTTCTGGAGTTATATTATTTATATGGTAAGAGTATGATTGAGCTTAGAAGTGGGAATCAATTGTGTGGGGATTGGGATATTTCTATTTCATTGTAATGTGTTTTTGATGCTCTGTATCTGTGAAGCCAGAGGATAGCTTTTCTGGTGTTGAACTGCTGTTCACTGTGAATTTGATGTCAATACAAAATACTTTGAGATGCTTTGGCCTTATTTAGTGTTTGCTGTTTAGCCTTTATGTCTTAAAATTATTTTTAAGCACTTTCAATGAAGGCCTTATCCTAGTTATTTTTGTAAAGCTTAGAAATGTTTGGTGACACTTATCCCTTTTGGGAACATTGGAGGTCTATTTGGCATGGTATGTATAATAAAGGGGGGTTATAATTGATTTTGTGTTAAGGGTTGGAATGAAAACGCTGGCAAAGAAAACAATTTTGAATATGTAGACTGACAGAGAAAAACAGGTGCAAACGTGACAACACAACTATTGTAATGGCAACATGGTGGTGGTAAAGTTTTAATTACAACAAATTGAAGGGCAGTAACGGTAAAGATAAACGATATAGGTTTGTTGCGTTTTTGTGATACAATGGTCAATAGTAGCAACATTGTTAGTGCCGATGGATGGAGGGAATTGGACACAAACATAATGGCATGATAGGTGTTGGTAGTGAAGATGGCAATGACATTTACAATTTGAATTCTTTCCTCTAAATGAAGTTAAAATTATAGCAGTCATTTTGAGAAGTAATTTTTAAGAGTGAAGGCCTAGTGATCATGGGGACGTGTAATGGGGATTCTAACTGCAAACATGATGGCATGAACAACATGGCAATGGATGGAAAAAAATTGGTGCCAGTATGCAATAATTAAGTATTGGTGATGGTGGAATGACTACAACCTCGGTGTTGGCAATCATAGGAAGGAATCACAAAATAATTGTAATGGAACAGATGTGAAGATACAGGTGATGAGTGATGACAGCAGTGTTTTTTGGAAATTCTCTGAGATTTGAATATGATAATGTAACATTGGTATTTTTGATAATGAAGATGGAAATATCAATGACATCTACTACTTGAATCTCTTTCCTTAATGAACATTTTTGATATGTTGGACTAGCAAATGATGCTTGGAGTTCAAGTGGAATACAGTTCTTCAGTATAGTTTCCACCTTAAATTTAGCAGTTGAGTAGGTGTGAGTCCAATTCTCACCCTAACTCGGTTCACAATTTTGTGAACTAATGGTTAAGGTTTGAGTGCAAGTCATTTTCCAAATGTCAGGATGTTGAAATCAAGTTAGATGGTGAATGTTAAAAAATCTTATTACGCAAATTTAAATAAAAAATATTGTTTTATGGTACTTGATATCTCTAAAAGCTGTGAAGTATGAGTGGAGATACAGATTTATGATTGCCCTCTTGGTGGTCTTCGGCTTCAGCATCAACCCCTAATTTGCATCAACATCCACAAAGAGAAGATTATTAAGCTATATGTTCACTACCTTGATTACAAGAAAAAGCACTAGCTTTGAGGTTGCAGCATAGTCATTTGTAAAATGATATTCCAATATTTGAAATACATGTTCAAAAGAAATATTTGGTAATGATGGTATCAAAAATTCAGAATTGCAAATGTTGAAAAATGTGCTTTTTACTTATTGAAAAAAATCCATGAAGAAAGAAAAGTTTGGTAATATTCTTTCTTATTTTTCTAATTGTTTAAGTAGGTGATATTGATATTTGCAGTTGAGATGTTTTTATGTCATAAAAAATTGAAGTTCCTTGCAAGACACATATTTTTGCAATTCATTTCACCTTCTACTTATTGTTTGCACATTCTTTTTGTATCCATGCAACAAGGCATGCCATTTATTTTACTCTTAAACAGTTTTGTATATATTTTGATCTTGTCTCCATATGATATCTTTTGTTTACAGTGCTTATCTTTTCAGGTGCTTGGTGGTTACAAATTACTTTTTTTTTTTTTTTTTATCAGTTAATATCAGCAATTTATAGATACATATCATAAACTATTTTCTCTTTTGCATACCAAAATTACTGATAGAATGGTCATTCTTCATATGCTACAGATCCAAAAACAGATAAAAGTGAAAAACGGACCTCTGGAAATTTATCTACTCCAAGAACCGAAGGTGACATATTATCATCCCCAAATCTAAAAGCCTTTACATTTAGTGAGCTTAAGACTGCCACTCGAAATTTCCGTCCTGACAGCCTCATCGGGGAAGGAGGTTTTGGTTATGTTTACAAGGGATGGATTGATGAACAAACCCTTGAGCCTGCAAAGCCAGGATCTGGGATGGTTGTTGCTGTCAAGAAGCTGAAACCTGAAGGTTTTCAAGGTCACAAGGAGTGGCTGGTAGGTTTTCTTTGTTTATAAAATCATTCATTATCCTTCTCCTTTCTTTTCTATATTTGGCGTGGCTCATTTTTAATTTCATATTTTATGCAGGCTGAAGTTGATTACCTTGGTCAACTTCACCATCCAAATCTGGTAAAACTTATTGGATTCTGCTTGGAACGGGAAAACCGGCTTTTGGTCTATGAGTATATGCCTAAAGGCAGCCTCGAGAATCATCTATTTAGAAGTAAGTCAAATGTTTGCCAGCACAATGCTTAAAAGCATGGTTCTTCTATATCCTCGTCACCTTTTATGCACAATTTCCTACATTTTGTTGGCACTTCTGCTTAATCTGTTAAAAAGTTTACCCAGAAGTTATTTGGACACCTTTTGATGCTGGTCCTAGTGCTGAAAAACGATGCATCTTCTTGATTAATGTTTAACTGCCTTATTTGCAGGGGGTGCTCGACCTCTTCCTTGGGCACTAAGGATCAAAGTTGCCATTGGTGCTGCTCAAGGGCTCTCATTCTTGCATGAATCTGAACAGCAAGTTATATATCGAGATTTCAAAGCTTCAAATATTCTACTAGATTCTGTATGTTAATTACTCCAAATATTGTCTTAGATTAAGTATGTATAGAAACTAGCAGTGCTTTTCTTTTGTTGAGGTCAGTGGGTTAAGTCGACAAGAGCTCCAGGACTTGTGAACTTGTAAATTCAATTGAAATATTAAAGATGGACAAAAGTAAGGAGCTGAAAATAGGTAGACTGTTATCTATTTTTTTTGTTTCCTGCCCAAAGTCTGATCCCATCATATTCACATTATCTTTCCATACTGACTGTTTTAGGCTTGTTTTTCTCTGGGCTGTCTTTGTTAGGATGGATGCACCTCTTTAGGATTTTTGTCTTGTGGTCTGACCCACATCTGTATCTTCTCTTTTGAATCATTTTTATAACAATTTCTTTGGTTTCTCACCAAAAAATGTTGACAGTGTGTTTAATTCCTTTCTAATTTTTTCAGATTTGATTATGCTTTATTATTGATGCAGGAATTTAATGCTAAGCTTTCAGACTTTGGCTTGGCAAAAGCAGGACCCACTGGGGATCGTACTCATATTTCCACTCAAGTTATGGGAACTCAAGGTTATACTGCTCCCGAATATATCGCTACAGGTATGTTTTGTTTACCTTGTAGTAAGGTTTTTATCTACCACTTGTGGATCGGTAATTGAATAGAATCCTTTAAATGCTTCTAGAAAATAGTCCCGATTGTATTAATACCTGAGTTTCTGAAGATGGTGTTTTTAACTTCTGACAATTAATAGCTGTACATTTCTCATTTGTTGTGTTGCACAGTTAGAAAAGGAATCTTTAAGTGTGAGATGGCATCTAAATTGTCCTAATATTGGTCCTTTGAAAACCAATTGTGATATATAAAAGACTAGTGCTTAGAGAAATGATATAGTCATTCTGCTACCACACACACAGAGATATCCTCAGCTGTAGAATTCTCATATTTTATTTTGTCAGCAATGGTTTGAATTATGTGTTGCTTCAGCAATTGTTTGAATTATGTGGTGCTTGTGCTATTGAGCATATGTACTCAACATATACATATTTTCTTAAGATGAATTGTGGTGGGTGTATTGTCATTTAAATTTTAAATGTTCACTATCTTGTCCATCCTAGTTTGCTAGTCACTCCTTTTATGTTGAGCTTACGTCTGACAACATATTTGCTAGTTCATCTATGATTATGTGATAGTTTCATATTAGATTCAAGGATTTATGGTCTCCTTTTGCTAGAGTAATGACTGATTGCAAGTCTCATATCTTTTGCTTATGCAAGCAATGTCCTGGCTATGTTAAATTTGGTTCTGATTTAGACATTTTAAAGAAAATTGGTGTTCCTCCATCTCTGGGAAAATCGCCAAAAATTACTGCCATTACTTGGTACCCTTTCTTTCCATGGATGAAGGTTAATACAGACGGTCTTTCAAAAGGAAAACCAGGTGATGCTGGTTGCGGAGCCGTTTTCAGATCGCCTGAAGGGCAATTTTTTGGTTGCTTCTCAATTGGTCTAGGCTTTCAACCAGCCTTTTATGCTGACCTTATGGGTGTCATCCTTGCTGTAGAGATTGTTTTTTCTAAAGGGTGGTTATGCCTTTGACTAGAGTGTGATTCTTCATCTGTTGTTCAGTGTATTAATTCCACCCATTTTCAGCCTCCTTGGCAACTTCATTCCTTGTGGATTAACTGCAAGAAGAAAATGAGCTCATGCAAATTTACTGTTCCCATTTATATTGTGAAGGTAATCAAATCGTTGTTCGATTAGCTAATATGGGGTTGTGATCTCCCTTTACAGAATGGTGGGATGAACGTCCTTTGGATATTTGTAGTATGCTTCTTCACGGTTGTTGGGGGTTTGCTAACTACTGATTTTCTTAATTTTTTCTGTTGTGTGTATTGACTTGTATTTTGCTGTCTTCAACCTCTTTTTTTCCAATAATATTACTCCCTAGGTTTTGCTTAAAAAAAAAATAAAATAATAAGAATAATAAATTTTAACCCTCTAATTCATTTCATTTCCTTGGGATATTAAAGCACTATTTTATTGTAATTGGGGCAGTACACTAACAGAAACATCCTTTGTTGAGCAGGTCGACTTACTGCAAAATGTGATGTTTACAGCTTTGGGATTTTGTTGTTGGAACTGCTTTCGGGGCGGCTTGCAGCGGATAAAGATAAAGTTGGTGTGGAGCAGAATCTAGTGGATTGGACAAAGCCTTATTTGGGTGATAGGCGAAAATTATTCCGGATCATGGATATCAAGTTGGAAGGTCAGTATCCCCAGAAAGGAGCTCATATGGTGGCCCTTCTTGCATTACAGTGTACAAGTGAGGCTAAGGTTCGGCCATCGATGGCTGATGTTTTGTCGGCTCTAGAGCAACTCCCTGCCCCTAGAGATGCAATTAACCCCTCCCAATTAGACCGAGAAGCAGTCTCCAGTCCTCACCTGAAGTCTCCATTGAGAAATGGTTTTTCTCACCTCAAGTCCCCTTTGAGAAACGGTTATGGTTCACCTGTGAATATGTCTCCCCGAGGTTCCCCTTTGCTACCTCATATGAAATACCCGCGAGGATGATGAAGGGGAGCTTACCTCAATGTAAATCCGTTCTTTTTCTTTAGCCCTTAGCTTCTTTTTGTTTAGCCTTCTTAGTTTATCTTGCACTGGCAGTTTCTCAAAGAAAAAACCATAGGAATAGTTTGATTATTGGCAGAGCACACCACAATTTTGTCACCATCATCATCGGCATTTGCCACTGTTGTTCTAACCAAAATGCGACATTTTCAAGGTTCTTTTTAACAATTTCTTTTCTCATATGAAACAATTGTAAAATATATGAAGAATCATTTTTCTTAGAATTCGATTGGATTCCCCATCTCTATGATGCTACACCAGCAACATGGTTATTGCTGAATATGGGCATGTAAATTTATCATATCTTCATAAATCTGGACTGACAACAGAAACTAACTAAGAGAAAGAGACTAATGTTGATCGAGATTTGCTCAATCAAACTGGGTTTTTAGCTACATGTTTAACATTTAAACCTCGATTGCCCTCTTGGTTTCTATAAGGAGTAAATAATTTTTTTCCATCTAAATAATGGTTTAATGACACTTTTCTATCTATAGATTTTTAAAATATTATTTAACTATCCAAATTTATATTTTGTTTCCGATTTTGACATCATTGTACCTTCGGATCACTAACATTCTATTTTCTGATCATCACTCACCAAGCCTCTCATATCCTACTCTTATCGATCTCGTCAATCGTTTACAATAGAGCTATTAGGGTTTGTACAATTGCTTCTCTCAAGTGAAATTTCGATCAATCTTAACCATCAAAATCCAACATTCCACTACTAAAAAACTTATCGACCTCTCTTCTCTAAAAATTTGGATCGAGTTTGTTTTCTGTTCATCGTCAGAATATAAATTTGAATAGTAAAATAATATTTTAAAAATGGGTAAGAAAGTGTCATTAAACCATTATTTGAGTGAAAAAAAGTCCCTTCAATAGGCCTTGAGTTGAACAGTCCTAGTTTGACCATCTCGTTAGCTAAGGAGGACTAGTAGTTAGATACACTGGAACGACATCGTTTTGGAGTTGAAAATCATTTAGAAAGCTTCACAACTAAGAATTATAAGAAGGTAACGTCAACAACTACCACGAGGGAGAGCGGTTTTTGATGGGCGTGTTCGTCAACTTCTCCAAATTAATCAAATCTCACTGGTAATAATTATTTAAACCTATCATCTTATTATCTTTTATATAGTCGTTATGTTTCTTCGTTATGATAATTTGAACACTCTGCATTTCCAGAAAACAATATACATTTTTGGTTAATTACGTTTAACGAAGGATTTTACTTTGTGGGTGGTGTAGATAAATTTTGATCGGGATTTAATATTTGAAGGGTTGAAGATGGTGCTAGTATTAGCGTTGGGTGATTTACATGTACCACATAGAGCACCTGATTTGCCTGCAAAGTTTAAGTCCATGCTTGTTCCTGGCAAGATCCAACATATCATTTGTACGGGCAATCTCTGCATAAAAGTATGTTCTTTTCTTTTACTTCTTTCTTGGCTTTTTCTTCTTTTAGTAATTCATCTTTAGCTTGTTTTCTTTTCGGTGGGAAAAATACATGAATATATGATCTGGGTTTGGTGTTTTCCCTTCTGTATTCTGGAAAGCCAAATAGATTTTTTTTTTAAACAATTTTTTATAAAATAATTAGAGTATAGTGGTCATTGAGTTGAGTCCCTTGCAAATTCATGCTTAATTGAATTTCTTATGGCGAGTTTAGATGTATTATGTAAGGAAGACTACTCTTTTCTATTTTCCAAAGAGTTATGGATATTGGATGGGTTTATTAATATTTGTATAACAACTTATGAACAAAGGCAATTCTGGGACACTTGTTTGTACTGCTCTTCTGTTTCTAGATATCTGCTACTTAGACTACTCTTAGTGGCAATTTATTTGGAATCTATAATTTTTTTATTTATTTTTATGCTTGTTTAAGTTGTTTCTTGTAGTTCTTTAGTTTTCCCACAACTTTAATGCATTAGTTTAGATTAATGCTTTGATGATCCATTCTATGATGGAGAGGAAAAATGAAGATGTCATTCAGTGATCAGTTTCTTTATCGTTTATGTAATCTTATTTGTTACAGTTAAGAACATAATCTATCTGTGATAGTTGATTTTCCTTTTCTTTGATTTAAACCATTAGCCATTTAGAAACCGCACGGCAAATAAATGATGCAGAAATTTAACCTCTACATGATTCAATCATATGCCAGATGCCTTAGGCTAACTTCCCAGAAAAGAAAAAAAAAAAAAAAAAAAAAAAAAAAAAAAAAAAAAAAAAAAAAACAAAAAAAAAAAAAAAAAAAAAAAAAAAAAAAAAAAAAAAAAAAAAAAAAAAAAAAAAAAAGGGGGGAAAAAAAAAAAAAAAAAAAAAAAAAAAAACAAAAAAAAAAAAAAAAAAAAAAAAAAAAAAAAAAAAAAAAAAAAAAAAAAAAAAAAAAAAAAAAACAAAAAAAAAAAAAAAAAAAAAAAAAAAAAAAAAAAAAAAAAAAAAAAAAAAAAAAAAAAAAAAAAAAAAAAAAAAAAAAAAAAAAAAAAAAAAAAACAATCAACACCTGGTTTTACTTACCTAATTTGAATTGTTTGTTTGCTAGATATGATCTTCTTTGGATTTGTTAGCTTAATAATTTTTTACTTGCTAGGTGATACCATATTCTTTTTACATCTCTGTTCTTAAATCTTAAAATGCATGTTGTGGGCGCGTGGCTTCTGTACTGGCTCTTGTTCATTGGCTTATGTGGTTAAATTTGAGCTGGGGTTAGATTCATCTTAAATTCAATTATTACCTTTACTATAAATACTAAATCTGTGTGCTGCTGTTATTATGGTTTTATTTCTTAAGAAGTTTCCTGTGAAGAGTTTAAAAATGTAACTATAATTTTGCTCTGTCTATATCTCTGTGTGGAATGAGTGTCATTGGCTTAGCGTTCTAAAATTATTTTCAGGAAGTTCATGACTACTTGAGGACTATATGTCCTGACTTACATATTGCTCGAGGTGAATATGACGAAGAGACAAAATATCCTGAGACCAAAACACTAACTATTGGTCAATTCAAGTTGGGCCTGTGCCATGGTCATCAGGTATGACACCTAATTCCTTTTCTTTCTTTCTCCTTTGTCTATTTGTTAATTTTATTTTGGATATCACAAACCTCTCTCTGTTCCAGCTTTAGAATACCAAGATTACTTCACATTGTATTCCTCTTGCTAATTTAAATGTGTGGGCTTATTTATGAGAATGAAATTTCACCTTATTTTGCACATTGTTTGGTTGACTGTAGATATCCTTTTTTTAACAATTGCATTTTAGGCCTAATTATTTCTTTTGGGGGCAGACAGAGGGTATGTGTGTTGAACCCATACATTCTACTTGTAAAATCAAAATGCCATTTCCTCAAATACTGTGCTTTCTACTTTTCTTTCCATGAATTGTTGGTCAAATTCATGTTGCCAGATGGTTAAACTGGCTCACCTCATGCTTCCATTACTGACTTTCTTTTTATTCACTATTTCCTGTTTTTGCTCGATTTTGCCAGTCTTGCATGCAGTTCTGTCAACAAAATTATGTAGTAGATGGTGAAATTTGAGTATATTTAGAATGAGAGAGGCCAATATTTTTCCTTTAATCACTAACTTTCTTCAGGAGATTTACATCAACTCTGGCAATTTCTGCTTCTCAGCTTATATCACTATTGACATACTGTTACAATTCACAAATTAAGTTCTGTACCTAATAGACATTGTTTCAAAATGGTCTTGTCTGTAACAAAGAGAAATGATATAAAAAATCAAGCTATTTCCGTTGATCTTACCTAGTCATTTGAAAAAAGAAAATATTAATAAAAAAAAGAAAACTTTCCTTTTTCTTACTGAGAAAATGGTGTTACGCGCAAAGGTTAATGGTATGTTCATTAATGTAAATAATCTTTTCTCAAGTCAATAGCTTTTGGATTTTGGTGAATTAAGCAATAGTAATCAGTTTCAATGCTTGGTATTTAAAAGGTTATTCCTTGGGGGGACCTGGACTCACTAGCCATGCTTCAGAGACAACTGGATGTGGACATACTAGTGACTGGTCACACTCATCAGTTTACTGCTTACAAGCATGAGGGAGGAGTCGTCATTAATCCAGGGTCTGCTACAGGTGCTCACAGTAGTATCACCTATGATGTTAACCCTAGCTTTGTCCTCATGGACATTGACGGCCTACGTGTTGTGGTCTATGTTTATGAACTCATTGATGGTGAGGTTAAAGTTGACAAGATCGACTTTAAGAAGACCACTACCTCTCACTCTGCTCATTAAACGTAAAGCTTAGATTTTGTTTTGATTGATCTTTGCTTTGGTTTCACCAATATTCGTCAAGTTTGCAATGCATGTGATTCCATTATTTCTGTATGTGTGGAGAGTGGAAGCTTTTTGGTTTGTTAATTGATTGGCAAAGGAACAATTTTCAGATGACTTTCTGTTGGGCTTTCCCATATTTAGATGTAACTTTGATATAAATGATAATTGTGCATTTCTTTTACCAAGTCATGGAAGCGTCAAACTTTTATTTTCTCTATTGCCACTGCTTCTTCAAGGTGAGCCAGTAAGCCAGAAAGTTCTATATGTAGATTGAATACTTAAATAAACCATGTCCAATCTGAGAACCAATTTGAATAAGATTTTAACCCGAAACCCGAAGAATTTGTAAAATCCAAAACGGTTCTAATACAATTCAAAGGGAACAATATCCGAGCGGTCATTTGTAGACTGTTATTTGAGGCTGCTGTCTATTTTATTTGGCAAGAACGGAATTACCGACTTTTGAAAGGCACAAATAGGAATGTTGAAACTGTGAAACAAAAGATGTTTGAAGAAGTTAATTTCCGTCTGTTTTCTCTCAACTCCAAAGAAAACTTGAGGGGTCGAATGGGGTCTCCCCATGAGCTGTATTAATTCGGAAATTTGATGATGCCTATCCCAATGATTAGGTGGAGTAGTGAATGGTGTTGTTGGATGTAGAGGTCAAAATGAAGAGCGTTTAGTGCTCCCTGCTGCAGAAGATACCAAAAGGTGCTGGCTACCATCCATATGTAGCAGGAATTTGCTTGTCTGCTCATAATGGCTCAGCAAGTCTGCATTGTTTTTAAAAAAAGAAGAAAGCCACCACTGGTATTTATTATGAGTTCAGACACCTTCAATGGCCGTATTCCATTGTCCAGGTTACTTGTGTTCAGAGTTGGTTCGGCTGGAAGGCAGGTTGGTAGAGAGCTGTGGATCTGGGTAATTGTCCAGAGATATTCAGATGGAATCGCCACAACATATTTAGCAGCAAGCTTTTCCCTAGGAAAAATCTGCAGCTCTTTTTTCGTGATCAGCCCAGCAGCCTCTACAGTGGAGTCCCAAGTGATAGCAAATCACATTTTTCTTAAGCGGCTTTGTAATAAGACGGTTTGTATTCGTGCACAGTTTCATCCTTCCTATATTAGTAAAAATTGGCATATAGGGAGTGCCCATAGATTCTCAAACGTGCAGAAGCAGATCGACAGGAATAATGTTTTCAAATGGACCAGACTGAGCTGGTACCTATGGGCGAGGAGGATTACCAAGTTGCTATGGCATTGGCAGTGGGTTTCGCGTGATAAGATCCCTGATTCAGCTACTGGAAAAAATGGAAATTGGTCTCAAAATGACATCTCCAGCAATCTTTGGACATCTCTGGTGTTCATGAGGATGTATAAGTGCGCTGCAAAAAGATGTCTGGTACTTACATTTGAGCAAGTTGTGGTAATTACGTCCTTTTTTTCCATGATAGGTTTTTTTTCGACGAATAATGATATGCTTACAATTAAGTCATAATATATAATCATATAAAAATTATACAAAATTTGTGTAAAATAACTACTTTATCTTATAGTTTTTTGTTTAGTTATAAATATGATTGTATGACTAATAACGTTATTATTGTGTGACAAGATATGATTAGCCGGAAAATGGGCCAGCAACTTTCAATCCTTGGTTATTTAGTCCTTGTCTCCTGTTTATTTTGTGATATTGGGCCTGATGGATCTTTTGTATAGGCCTTCTTTAGGCTTTAGCTCTCATGGATTGTATATCCTTGGCCTTTTCTAGCATCTTGTGTAGTAAAGTCCCTTGGGCCTGTCTAAGGTTCTCCTTAGCCAGGGACTCCCCCTTCTTAGGATTGTGTATGATTATGCATCCTCTTTCGCCAAACGCGACACTTTTCAACTCCAGTACAATACACATTATGTATCATCTAGTGAAGCCAGAGCTGACCCAATTGCTACAAATCTTGGCAACTAAACACCGATTACCCAATGTCGCTTCCCTCTTGCAAAAATGCAAAGACAAGCACCAACTCAATCAAGTGCATGCCCATATGATAGCCACGGGCTTGATACAATATCCGCCTGCAGCAAGCAAACTTGTTGCAGCATTTGCCGTAAGTACCGTCTTCGGCGCTACTTCTACTGCTCGTTCAATTGCTGAGCGAGTCAGGGGCCTCGATTCTTACACTTGGAACACCATCATTAGAGGTTATTTGGAGGAAAATAAACCTAAAAATGCGTTTTTGGTTTACTCTTGTATGAGAAAAAAAGCCTTGCAAGTTGACACTTACACCCTCATGTTTGTTACCAAAGCGTGTGGGTTAATATCATTGACTCTTGGAGAGCAGATTCATGTTCAAATTTGCAAACTGGGTTTTGAATCCGAGATTATAATTCAAACCGCTTTGCTAAAGGTGTATGCGTCGTTTGGTGAGCTTAGTGATATGGACCAATTATTCGACGAAATGCCTTACAGAGACATGGTTACATGGAATTCACTTATTGCTGTTTATGCGCAACATAGTTCTCATTTTAAGGTGCTTGAATTATTACGTGCCATGGTGTACAATGGTTTGAGACCCAATGAATCGACTGCTGTAAGCATGCTTTCTGCTTTCTCTTCTTTGAAAGCGTTAAGGGAGGGTAAAGTTGTTCATTGTTTTGCGGTCAGGAACTTTGTTAATTTAGATGTTTTTGTGTACAATGCTTTGATTGGCATGTATTCAAAATGTGGGAATTTGCCATACGCTCTTCGGATTTTTAAATTGATGCCAGTAAGGAGTGTGGTTTCATGGACTTCTATGATCAATGGTTATTGTGATAACAATTTTCCGAATGAGGCATTGGATTTGTTCAAACAAATGGAGTCTAAAGGTGTAAAACCAGATGAGATCACCATGTTAAGTGTTGTTTCAATTTGCTCAAAATTGGGCAGTTTCGAGCTTGGAGAGTGGATTGACCAGTATGTTGAGAAGAGTGGGTTTGCAAAAGGGAGTCTTTCTATAGCAAATGCACTTATTAATATGCATGCCAAATGTGGTAATATCGAGAAAGCTTGTCAAATTTTTGATGGGATTCCGGAGAAAACTCTGGTCTCTTGGACTAGTATTATACATGGACTAGCAGTGCACGGGCAAGGAATTTTGGCTTTGGTTCGGTTCTCCCAAATGCTAAGGGAAGGGTTTCAACCAGATGGTATTGTCTTCCTGAGCATCTTATCTGCATGCAGCTATGCAGGGTTGGTTGATGAGGGACGAAAATGCTTTGATTCAATGATAAAAGATTATCATTTGGAACCATGGCAGGAGCACTATACGTGCATGGTGGATCTTTTATGTAGAGCTGGCTTGATCAATGAGGCTTTCAAGTTCGTAGTTAATATGCCAGTTGAACCAGATCCAATTATGCTGCGAATTTTGCTGAGGGCATGTCAAAATCAAGGGGATATTGATACTGCTAGTCGAATTATGAACTATTTGTATCAGCTGTGTCCAAAGAGGAGCGAGGACTACCTACTTATATCAAATTTATATGCCACAGTCTCCAAGTGGGCTGCTGCTGCTGAAGTTAGGGACCAAATGAAATTTAGGGGATTAATTAACCGAAATCCTGGTCGTAGTTCTATCGAGGTAAATCAATGTATGTAGATTATAATGTTATATTTTTGGTCATTTAGCCCGCATTATTGGGGTTAGGATGTTGGAAAAATTATTTTTGCTGAAATTTGGGGTAGAACTTGTTAGAACAATTCCTATTCAAGTTATAAACAGAGTGAGAATATTTGTGTTCGCTGGTTGGAGAAGTTGTTTTAGCTGAAATCTGAGGTAGAAGTTATAAACTAAGTCGTAAAACTATAAACAAATTATGTTTTAGATAGGGAATCGTTAACCGAAGAGGAAAACAGAAAACTCTTCTACAAATATTAATTCCACTAATCAAATTATATTCATTATACTGAATTTGTCTAGCTGTTTCCACTTAAGTTTTCACAGATGTCAAACCTCTACAAAGATTTTTGCGAAGTATTCCCGGGTGAACCATTGCCAAAACCTGAAGATGACACAAGAACTAGCGCAAAGTTCTCCATTAAGATTCTCCTATGGCACAAATTCAAACCTCTTTATTTAGAAGAAATTGAAGTAGTAAACATCCTTCATAGTCACAGAACATTCGAGGTGGAACAAGATCGATTTATATATAACAATGATACATCCAAATCTACCATAGAAGCTATGCTTTCTACCATGTCCATCCCTGTAAAGGCATCCCTAGTAAAGGAAATATTGAGTTATGTTAAAGAAATGACAAAAAATAATATTTACGCAAGATACAAAATTCCAAGTATGCATGTTCACATCGGGATTATTGTTGATAAACCAGCAGAAGTTCCTAGGGATTATGGGGTGACTGATTTGAAGCAAAATTCATCATCCATTTTGGAGATAGTTAAAGTTGAAGCATCAAATGAAGCACCTACATGCGCAATTTGTTTGGAAGAAGTTGTGTTTGGATCTCTGGCCACACGTATGCCTTGTTCACATGTTTTTCATAGTGGTTGCATTGGTCATTGGTTAAGCAAGAATGAAGTTTGTCCGTTATGTAGGTTTGAGATGATCTAACTCTATTTTGAACGAAAAGTATTATCGAAACAATAATAACAATAATATTATACATATGAAGTTGGGATTCTAACTTTGTATGTTAAATGATATGGTTGTTTTTGTGTCACCAACACATTAACTATAGGATGTGTTGTTGACACAAGCATATTATTTTATTATATTATCACTCTCTTTATTCTCTTTCTCTTATTGTGAGGCATGGCCAATCAACATTGTAAACCCTGATGATGAATCACAAACTTGCATCATGTTCTCTGTTGCCATTGATTACTATTTAACACTTCCTCCATTGGCTGATTCAATGGAGTGGAGTGAACTTGAATTTGGAGACTTTAAAAAAAATCTTAATCCAAAGAAAACTCGAGGTGGAACGTGATCTGCATCACTAGAAAAATGTATGTCCCTGCATAGAGATAGCGTTCGCAAAGACAAATCCTGCGTTGGGAATGTATTTCTCCCGCGTCAAAACCTGCGTTTGTATCGGGTCTTATACAGTAACGGTATTTAATTGGGAAGTATGATTGGGTATCTGACCCTATTAGTCCGTTCTTGTAAGAGACGTTGGGATATTTCAAAGTCGCTGGCGCCAACCAACTCCCGTTGGGACACCCTGGGCTGGAATTGAGTCGATGTAGCATTCCCGGCGCCAATACAGGGGCGTCAAGGAAAACGCAATACACCAACAGTACCTTATACGTGGGGAGAATTCTGTTAAACACCAATGAGGGATGGCGTCAAAGTAATATCTTAATTCCAACACCGTACTTTGGCTTGGGGAATTGCATCGGAGCAAACAAAGTTTCCAGTAGTGATGGCGACACTTGCCATTCAACAACAATAGAAGGTATGCTTTCCGCCATGAATATTCCTACGAACCTTTCATGGTAGATAACATATTAACATGTGCCCGAGAGATGACAAATAACAATATCTATTCAAATAATAAGGTGTTACATAAGCGAGTCTGCATTAGAAAATTTTGTCGATGAATTGCCAAACGTTCCTGAAGATGATGACCACCCAAACACAGTGCCTGCAAGCAAGTTATCAATTGGAGAGTTGAAGATGGTTAAAGTTAAAGAATAAACAAATTCATGTCCAAATGCGAGTCTGTATTTGGTTTATTAGAAGCTGCACGAATGCCTTGTTCACATATTTTTTTGTTTATTATGAGCAAAGTAATATTCTACCTCAATTCTAGATTTTGATTTTCTAGTAGAGTTTAACAATAATTGAACCTCCAATTAGTGTAAAGCTCATCAAACTGTAGACAGACTTACGCAATTAAAAAAGACTTGAAGAAAGAGTCCTGTTTTAACACAAGTCATTACAAAAGATTAAAGACACTAATTTCCTATTCCGCCAAGGACATTCATGAAATTAGAAACTTCAATCTCCATAAAACTCTTCTCCTTTCCCTAACTGCGTCTGGATTTATACTACTAATCCTACTCCAATTATCACATTGTTTCTCTATATATGCATATAACCTGCCACAACAATTAATGCTTATTACTACTTCTATCTTTCTCACTTCTTCCACCGTTCCACTTTCAGTTCTTAATTTCCACCATTGTTTTCAGTTAAACTTCCGCTTAACTTAATTTTTACAAGATGTCAAACCTCTGCAAAGATTTTTGCGAAATGTTCTCGGGTGATCCATTGCGAAAACCTCAGTTTCATAGCACAAACTTCTCCTTTAAGATTTTTCTCTGGCGTAAGTGTGTACCTCCTGGTTTCGATGAACATGACATACAGTACATCTTTCAGAGTCGGAGAAAATTCGAGGTGGAACGAGATCGATTAATAAATAATGATGCATCCAAGTCTACCATCAAAGCTATGCTTTCTACCATGTCCATCCCTGTTAAAGCATCTCTAGTGGACGAAATATTGATTTATATTAAAGAAATGACAGACGATAATTTTTACACAAGTTTGGATATTAACATAGGGTTGTCTGTTGATACACCAGTAGAAATATTTCCTAGGGATTATGGGGTGACAGATTCATCAATTTTGGAGATAGTTAAAGTTGAAGCATCAAAAGAACCATCTATATGTGTAATTTGTTTGGAAGAAGTTGTGTTTGGATCTGTGGCCACGCGCATGCCTTGTTCACATGTTTTTCATAGTGATTGCATTGGCAATTGGCTAAACCAGAGGGAAGTTTGTCCATTATGTAGGTTTCAGCTGAACTGATTTTAGTTTAATTTAACTGCTTGAAGAAGATGCAGGATCGATCTTTCATTATGTATTTAATTAGCTAGTTAGAATGATTTTTCCGCATCCTATTTTACTATTAGATTCTTGTAGAAATTAATTAAACAACTGCTAATCTAATGAACATTATACAAGCTCAAATGATCAGGTAAACCACAATTTTATTGTGGTAAGTGACTCCAAGGTTTGAACCCAAAAACTTAAGAAAGAGAACAAACCTCCTTGACCGTCAAACTAACCCTTTAAGTTAGATGGGTTAGTGTTTGTTCTTCGAACGATGACAAACTTGAATTTTTCAGATTATCTTCATATTGTATTAAAACAAATTGATGAATTAATTGACCAATTCCTTTTTAAAAAAAAATTATAAAAAGGTTTGTTGAAGAAAAGAACATTACACTATTGTGGTATGAGTAATATTGCATTTACACAACTCTTTTACACCATTTTTATTATACTATGATGTGGCATATGTCACAACCACATAAATTCTATTATAATATTAAAAATTTAAAATCATGCCTTTCGATGATAGAATTCAACGTCCTATACTTCTTTTAAGTAAGGTAACCCCTACTCACCAATAAAATATAGGGTATAGGTCCACCAATTTGGGCTTGTTTCTTTTTTATTCATACCCGGTCCGGTCCGGTCCGTTCTTTTACGGGTGGGCCAAGTTCGCAGAAATTAAAAAAAAAAAAAAAAAAAAAATGTGAAACATATGCCTTGTTCACATGTTTTTCATAGTGGTCGCATAAGTAATTAGTTAAATAAGAATGAAGTTTGTCCGTTACGTAGATTTGAGATGAATTAACTATATTTTGAACGAGAAGTATTATCATAATAATAATACTATACATACGAAGTTAAGATTCTAATTAACTTTGCCTGTTAAATGATGTGGTTATTTATGTGTCAGCAAGGTACAAGATGCTAGGATAAAAATGATAAGCTTTCTAATTAATGTGGTGGTGATAAAGAGGAGAATTATTTTATTATATTATCTATTACATTGAAGTCATCTCTTTGTTCTCTTTCTCTCTTATTGTGAGGCATGGCCGATCAACATTGTAAACCCTAATGATGAATCTCGAACTTGCATCATCTTCTCTGTTGCCATTAATTACTATTTAACACTTCCTCCATTGGCTGATTCAATGGAGTGGAGTGAACTTGAAAATTTGGAGACTTAAAAAAAAATCTTGATCGAGAGAAAACTCGACGTAGAACGTGATCTGCATCACTAGAACATGTATGTCTCTGCACAGAGACAACGTTGGCAAAGACAAAGCCTGTGTCGGGAATGTATTTCTCCTGCGCCAAAACCTGCGTCTGTATCTCGTCTTGCAAGAGACGTTGGGATATTTCAAAGTAGCTGGTGCCAACCAACTCGCGTTGGGACACCCTGGGCTGGAATTGAGTCGAGGTAGCTTTCACAGAGCCAATACAGGGGTGTGGGTGGGAAAACGCAATACACCAGCGGTACCTTATACGTGGGGAGAATTCTATTAAACACCAATGAGGGATGGCGTCAACGTAATATCTTAATTCCAACGTCGCACTTTGGCGTGGGGAATTGCATTGGAGCAAACAAAGTTTCCATTATTGATGGCGACACTTGCCATACAACAACAATAAAAGGTATGTTTTCCGCCATGAATATTCCTACGAAACCAGTCATGGTAGATATAAAATATTAACATGTGCTCGAGAGATGACAAATAACAATATCTATTCAAATAATAAGGTGTTGCATATGCGAGTCTGCATTACAAAATTTGTCGATGGATTGCCGAACGTTCCTGAAGATGATGACCACCCAAACACGGTGCCTGCAAGCAAGTAAATTCATGTCCAAGCAAGTCTAGATTTTGATGTTCTAGTAGAGTTTAACTATCATTGAACCAGATAAAAGAAGAAAAAAAAACCTCCAATTGGTGTAAAGCTCATCAAACTGTAGACAAATTTATTAATTTAACAAAGACTTGAAGAAAGAGTCCTGTTTTAAGACGAGTCATTACAAAAGATAAAGACACTAATTTCCTATTCCGCCAAGGACATTCATGAAATTAGGAACTTCAATCGCCATAACACTCTTCTCCTTTAGCTTCAAACTCTCTCTTTCTCTCTCCCTAACTACGTCAGGATTTATACTACTAATCCTATTCCAATTATCACATTGTTTCTCTATATATGCATAACCTGCCACAACCATTAATGCTATTATTACCACGTACTTCTATCTTTCTCACTTCTTCAAGAAATCAATCTACTCTCTTCTTCCACTGTTCGACTTTCAGTTCTTAATTTCCACCATTGTTTTCAGTTAAACTTCCGTTTAACTTAATTTTTACAAGATGTCAAACCTCTACAAAGATTTTTGCATAATATTCCCCGGTGATCCATTGCGAAAACCTCAAAATGATTTCTCCTTTAAGATTTTTCTCTGGCATAAATTTGTTCCTCCTGGTTTTGATGAACATGACAGTGTGCACACCCTTCAGAGTCGTAGAATGTTCGAGGTGGAAAGAGATCGATTAATAAATAATGATGCATCGAAATCTACCATTGAAGCTATGCTTTCTACCATGTCCATCCCTGTTAAAGCATCTCTAGTGGACGAAATATTGATTTATGTTAAAGAAATGACAGACGATAATCTTTACACAAGTTTGGATATTAACATGGGGTTTTTTGTTGATACACCAGTAGAAATACTTCCTAGGGATTATGGGGTGACAGATCCATCAGTTTTGGAGATAGTTAAAGTTGAA